ACTCTAGAGATTCTATGATCTGAAACAATTTCTTAGGAGCAGTAAGTCTGAGAGACCACCAGAGAACAGAATGAGTGATGAGATGCAGTTAATCAGTAACCATGTGGTAAAGGAACATATAGGCCATAGGGAACTAAACCTCTCCCCTTCAGCCTAAATCAAAATTCTGTAATCTCTCCCCATTTATAGAATGTGCCTTTTTTTTATTATTCTTCGTGCCAAACAGGGCAATTTCATCTATTTACCACATCTTTGCCCAATCAATCCATCTGTATCCCTTTGTAACTTCCTTATACCCTCTTCACAACTTACAGCCATGTAATCATACAGTACAGAAAGGGCCTTTTGGCCCATCAAGTTTGTACTGCAACCTACACTAGTCTCACTTTCCTGTATAAAGCCAATAGCCTTGAATGTTATGACACGTGTGCTGTTAAAATGCCGTGTCTAACTTCCATCCCTTTCTCTCTCATTTATCTAACACCCCCTTTCAGTGCATAAATATGATTCACCTCAATCACGTTCCACATTCTCACCTAGCTGGGTTTCCACAGCTTTCCACTGTGTTCTTTATTGCATTTATGAATTACACTCAAATTATAGCATCTTATTTTGCACTCCTTATTTTGTTGAGGTTTGAGAATTATGCATTTAACTCCTACTGAAAAATAGAAGTAAAAATTAACTACTATTGAAAAATAGTAGAGGTCTTTATCGAGGCATGATTGATCACCTTTCATTCTACTCCACCCCAGGTCTCTCAAAAACTTGAATAAGTTCCCTTTGTCATCTCACACTCGGAAAACCTGATGAAATTCAGCATGTTCTAAAGAGATACTTAGTGCTTTAAGTCTGTCAACAAATTGTGGCTGACCTTTCAAGATTTTGAGTCATCTTCAGCAATCTGACCATTAGTCACAGCTCCCACATAGAGTCCCGCTTGCAATTGCTCATCTGGTACTAAGGACCTGAGGGTTCATGAGCTAAAGTGTAACTTGTTCCCTCGATGCTCCATCACAAGGACAAAACACATTCTCTGTCATGTTTCTATCTCTCGTTTCAAACAAAAAATAAAAGAATAAAATCAGCTCTGCCAAATCCAACAGAGAGAGAGTGAGTGGCCTGGAATGTAAGGTTAACAGTGAAGGGTTGTAGTTCACCCACAGTCTCAAAGAAGCCAGACTGAAAGATCCAACAGACCACTTGGGTGGGAAACCACAACCTTCTCTTCATGCAGTGGATCACTGTGTTCTTGGTGGGGGCATTGCCAGTGTGCAGCTGCGGTGATGTCAGCAAGCTGCCTGCAGCCAATCACGTTAAAGGATTCCCACAGACAGTCAGTCAAGCAATGAAGTGCTCAGATGATTCAAATCTTTTATTTACAAACTTTTCAAGAAAATACTTGAGACTAGAGAACGTGGAGTGATGAAGCTGAAATATCATGGAAAAACTTTAAGAATTATTTTGAATTATTTATGATGCCTATCTGAAGAGGAGAAATTTGCAGGGAATTTGTATGAGAGTGTGCTTTGCTCTCTCAGACTAGGCTGATTGGGTGTTTGTGTGCTGTAACTATTACTTTCATTTGCAAAGTTGCTGGGATAGGTTCAGGGGAGGCGATGGCCTAGTGGTATTATCACTGGACCGTTAATCCAGATCCCCAGATAATGTCCTGGGGACCCGGGTTTGAATCCCGCCACGGCCGATGGTGGAATTTGAATTCAATAAATATCTGGAATTAAGAGTCTAATGATGACCATGAATCCATTGTCGGAAAAACCCATCTGGTTCACTAATGTCCTTTAGGGAAGGAAACTGCTATCCTTACCTGGTCTGGCCTACATGTGACTCCAGACCCACAGTAATGTGGTTGATTCTTGACCGCCCCGTGGGCAATTAGGGATGGGCAATAAATGCTACCTAGCCAGCGATGCCCTCATCCTGTGAATGAATAAAGGGGGGAAGAAAAAAGGCCTTGCCCCATTTTTGAATTGGCCGGTAGCTTGAGAAGCCTATAGTTTGCCTCTGTTTTCTCCATAGCAACGGCATTAACCGATCACAATTAATTCGCCAACTTTCATAGAAACGTAGAAAATAGGCCATTCAGTCCTTTAAGCCTGCTCCACCATTCAATTTGATCATGGCCGATCATACAACTTGATTTTTACTTTCTCTCCATACCCATTGATCCCTTTAGCCCTAAGAACTTTATCTAACGCCTTCTTGAAAACATTCAATGTTTTGGCCTCAACTACTTTCTGTCAGAGAGAATTCCACAGGCTCCCACTCTCTGGGTGAAGACATTTCTCCTCGTCTCAGTCCTAAACAGTTGACCCTGTATCCTCGGACTGTGACTCCCTGGTTCTGAACTCCCCGGTCATCGGGAACATCCTTCCTGCAATTACGCTGTCTAGTCCTGTTCAACACCCCTTCTTCCCTGCAGTATGAATTGTAATGATGGTTTAAAATTTGGCATTCTTGCATTGGTCCTGATGAGTGCAAGACAGAAAGGTTCAGCAACACGTCGCTGTTTTTGCAATGCTCAGGTTCTGTGCACCCAAGTCACCGTTCAAAGCCTATGACAGTGAACACTGACAATACCCCACCCAATCCCCTGTGCAGTCTGGGTCATTGACCAGACTGTGTAGACAGTGTAGTGGTGATGACACAGCTTTGTGCCCTCTCTTAGCTGTGCAGCCACTTGGATGTTCCAATGAGATTCCACACGTGCCAACTGACATTGGTGACTGAGGTGCCAATGCATTGACGTTGGTTTTGGAAGTCCATGTACTGAAAACAATGCGAGGAGAGTATTGCATTGGTTTTGTAATACAGAACCCCAGGCTGTAATATTCTGGGTTCGAATCTCATCGCAGCAGATGGTGAATTTTGAATTCAATTCAAAAAGCTAGTCTAATAACCATGAAACCATTGTCAGTCAACATCAAAACCCGTCTGGTTCACTAATGTCCACTAGGGAGGAAACGTATGCCATCCTAACCTGGTCTGGCCTACACCTGACTCCAGACCCAGAATAATGGAGTTAACTCTTAACTGCTCTCTGAAATTGTCTAACCAGTGAGTGATTCAATTGAGCTGCCATCTTGAATTCACCGTCATCTTCTTCAGAGTAATTAGGAATGGGCTAACCAATGACACCAACATTCTGTGTAGAATAATAAACGTTCAAAGTTCCACACAGCAGCCTGTTTGCAAGATCTGGAATGTCGGAATTAAGGACGGACTTTGAGGGGCCCTAAGTTGAAATGAGTAACTGCTGTATCCCTGTGTGGCTATAACAATGCAGGTAGACGGGCTCGCTTTGGAGAGTTTTAATAAAGACATTCAAAGGGTTTGAGTGGAGTCTGTGAGGAACATTGGCAGTTTCCAATAACAGGAGGGTTGGTTGCTCATCAAAAGGAGGGTGGTGGGAGGTTGAAAACAATTGTTTTGATGCAGTGACCTGGAATGTACTGCCTGACAGGGCAGTAGAAGCAGAGTTTATAATAACTTTCATAAGACCATAAGAAATAGGAGTCGGCCATTCAGCCCCTTGAGCATGCACTGCCACTCAATAGGATCATGGCTGATCCAATATTCCTCACATCCACTTACCTGCCCTTTCCCCTGATTCCCCGACTGATCAAGAATCTGTTGATCTCGGCCTTAAATATACACGAGGACTCTGTCCCCACAGCTCTCTGTGGCAAGGAGTTCCACAGACTCTCAACCCCCCTGAGTGAAGGAATTCATCCTCATCTCAGTCTGAAATTGGTGTTCCTTTGTTCTGAGACTGTGCCCTCTGGTCCTAGACTCTCCCATGAGGGGAACCACCCTCTCAGCATTTACCCTGTCAAGCCCCTTAAGAATCCGATATGCTTTAATGAGAACACCTCCCATTCTCCTAACCTCCGTTGAGTAGAGTCCCAACTTGTTTTCCCTTTGCTCATAAGACAATCCCTCCAATCAGGGATCATCCTAGTAAACCTTCTTTAAACTGCCTTCAATCACATAATATCTTTCCTTATCTGATAGCTTTCTTTCATAAGGGATTTGGATAAATACTTCAAGGGGTAACATTCACAAGAACTGGAAGAGTTGGACTAACTGGACCGTTCTGTCGGAGAGCCAGCACCAACCTGATGACCTGAATGGCCGCCTCCTGTGTTGCTGATGTCTCCTGGGAAATGTGACATCAAGTGGCAGGGTCAGGCTTAGCTTTGGTAACCAGCTTGCGATGAAGAAACTATCAACTGGCACTTAGATACAATCCTGGTTCATGCCCAAAAAGTTTGCAGACAACGAGGAATGTTTAACGCACAGTTACTGTTGTGATGTAACGAGCATGGCCGTCCATTTGTACAAGCAAGCTGCCACAAGCAAAGGTTTTTAAAAATGACTGTCATCAGCTCCTCTGCCGAAAGATTATTGGGAGATACGCAGGAATGTAGAGGTGAGGTACAATCAGGTCAGCCATCATCTGATTGAATGGTGGAGCAGGCTCGAGGGGCCAAATGGCCTCGTCTTGTCGGTATATTATTGGTTAAAGTCTCTTCAAAACGGAGGCCAAGGAAATGTATGCACCCACTTGAAAAGTGAAGCGGGGAGGGTTAAATGCTTTTACTGGTCATCTGAAAGGCAACATTTTTGACTTCGTGGTAAATCCGTGCCGGACTGTAAATCTGACTGTATCTCTGGAGTGCACAACCTTGGATAGGTACATGGATGGGGGAAGGGTTTAGAGGGATACGGACCAAATGCAGGCCGTTGCAACTAGCTGAGTGGTCAGCATGGACCAGTTTGGGCCAAAGGGCCTGTTTCCATGCTGTATGACTCTATGACTCAGTGCCCATAGCTGATGTGATGCCTTAACAGGGACTCTTTCATGTCTGCATGTGTGTTCAGGAAACTGCTCGGATGATTCAGAGCTTTAAAGTGAACCAGAAATTAATTCTTTGGTCACGATTCTTTTGATAAAACTGCTTCCTTTCCTCCTGTAGGTACCAGCAAGTGCTTCACAGAAATTTGGTCTATCTGGCAACAATAGCAGATTCCAATCAGAACATGCAGTCACTCTTGCCAGCTGTAAGTATTCTTTTTCAATAGAATTTTGTAAAGCAACATTCAGCTTCCAGAGATAACGCACAGCGTGGAGCTGGAGGAACACAGCAGGCCAGGCAGCATCAGAGGAGCAGGAAAGTCGACGTTTTGGGTCAGGACCCTTCTGAATTTCTGAAGAAGGGTCCCGACCCAAAACATCAGCTTTCCTGCTCCTCTGATGCTGCCTGGCCTGCTGTGTTCCTCC